ACCATTGCGAAGAGCTCGTCGAGACAATCAAAATAGACATATTATTTGCTATATTGGGAGCTCGGATCCAAAAGATATTAATTTTAAAAGAGAAGTCAACATCCACTTAGCAAACTCCAGGAGAGCCCAACAGCGCAGCGCCATGCAGCACATGCACTAGGCATCGATACTGGCCAGGCGCGTCCCCATCTGCTTCCCCAGTGGGAGAGAGCTGTCGAACAGCCCAGCCACTCAGGTAAAGCCGCGTGACCCAGGCAGGAGGCCCCGCCTGCTCCCCAGTTTCACCACGCAGGAGCCCAACAGGCCGTGAGTGCGCACACTCCGTGACTATGATAATGTGGGCTTCTTTCAATTTTTTATTGGGCCAAATTTTTTATAGGCTAAATGATTGAAAATGCTGAGTACTAAATAAATTTTGGGCTAGATTCCAGAGTAGTTCTGGGCCTACCTGGACTACCCTTTAGGCCCGCCACTGGCAGGTACCCCGCGCGTTGCCGCGTAAATTGGTGCCGAGAATGCCTCCTTACATGCTTATATTATTCAATTTCAGTGTGGAGAACATGAGGGTAAATGGAAAGAATATCAATAACCTTACAAAAGAAACTAATCGCTATATTGTTGTCGAAGATCTAGGACGCACTACATTAATCATGTCTGTGGAGCATGGCGGGCATCCAGCAGCTATGGTGACGATCGGACGGACCTAGCACGGTGAACTGTTAGCTGTGCCTCACCACCTGAGTCATGTAAATAGAGGACACATCAGGTGTGGGATAACTTCAGAAAGTATTATTCATGCCCACAAAATCGTGCTGAGTTCATAATGGCGAACGCTGCATATTAATACAGGTACCATAGGAAAATATAATTTATAGAAGCATAGGGAAAGAGAAGTTAGATGTAGCAAACGAATGAAACAGTAGCATAATTATGTGTATGATGCAATTTAACTGCTCAGGTGGAGCCGCTGCTAACGCAGAGACAGCAGAATTTTTTTTGCAATATAATCTTGCAATGATCATGTATAAGGAGTATAACACAACTTCGGCAGCTGAACACACGGAAGCTATCATAATATAATTGTTTAGGAATTTAGGATACAGTATAGTCATTATGTCCATGATGTAATAACTGTGATGCAGTTAAGGAAACCTTTGCTATGGGTAACACAAAAAAATTGGTAATGTATCACACAATGATTATGAGAAGGATGTAGTGCTTGTTAGGGGCTTCATGGCACAGGATAAAAATCGAGATATGCAACTACTTAGAGAGTTGAATATGGTAGTGGAAGAGGTACACAGAATGTTCCAATTTCCTATAGCAACAGGCTACGGAACCATACATACAGGAAACCAAAGAGGTCATTGTAGTTTTTTAAGGCAACAGAATGGTCCAATTTTCTATGGCAACAGAAAAATAATAATGATGTGGCGGCTGAAATCCTGATTAGCAAACCATCCAATCATGAAATTAATGATGCTCAGATTATTACCTTCTGTAGCCAGACTTGAAACTGAAATAGGATTGATCCGTTTTTTCAGCAGGCATGCTCTGATCCTGCACCTGATAAAATACTGTGGTTCTGAAGATTAGCTATTTGGAAAATTAATAATTGTAGTGCCTCAACCTCATGTCGATGAGATTACTTAGACACTTAACTTACTGATATCTGGTTGGGATGTACACTGACCATGTGGTTGGAGCATGGAAGCAGAAACATGGATGCATCGATAAGATTCTTTGTTGTGGTTAAAAACCCTCAAATATTTAAGTCGCTTTCAAACTTCTAAATTGAATATATATCATCCACGGGGGGATGATGTATATGCAGAGCCAAACCGTCGTAAGGTACAGCTGGTGGTACCTAGCCAACAAATGTATGGTCCTGTCAGGCTATACCATGTCACAAAAACATACAGTGAGCCTCATAGCAGAGGTTAAAAAAAGGATTGCCAACAAAATAACATTCATGAGAGAGCACAGCGGAAAAAGTATTATTTCTATTATTTCGTGACTGCTTTCAAAGAATGGGTTCTAGACTTGTATAGCATTTCAGCAAGGCAGCAAGAATTGCATGAACAGAATGAATATTTAGGCTAACTGGAAACCGAAGAATGACAATCTGTAAGAAGTATCCTAACTCTTCCAACACACCATGATCACAGATTCATTGTTTTTGTGGAGATTGCCTGGAAAAAAGGTTTCACCTGTTATCTCAAGATGGTATCAATGGTAACTGCACAAATGATGATGATGGGAGCTGTTAATAAGAAATTGTAAAACTGAAACAATATTAGCCCAAAAAGAGAGACCTGTTTAGGTTCAGCTCGCTGAACCAACAATTGTGAGCAGCGTCCATGTGGAAGTCCTCAATATATGTAGATTGCACCCTAGAAAATAATAACAAATGCAAGCAGTGTGTATAATGTAAAATCAAATCCGTGTACTCTGTTGCAACCTGATGGAAAGAAAATAAGCACAAAACCATGAATGTGTTCCAAAGCAAGGCAAATAATTGCATAGTGTGTAAACCTTGAAATGACATATTCAAATAATTAAGGATGCAATCTGTGTACTAAAAGTATGCAGCAGGAATGTTTGGAGGCAAGATGACTATTTGCAGAGGTTGGGGATTGACCTAAACATCAGAAAAATTGAAAGGAACCTGCAAACTAATGGTATCATCATGCTGAAAAAATTCAGATGTTAAAATTATTGCCTGAAAATTGAATTAGCTTTTGAGCAGTTGTACTTTCTCGGCATCATCAATGGGTGATGCCACCTATTGGTTTCATCAATCAATTTATCACCGAAAGGAGATGACCTATGTGCATACTGTGTATATTTTAGATGGCAGTTCATAGTGGCCAAACAAAAAATATATTTTAAGACTGATCTTGGCAGCTGTTCAGAGGACCTGTATTCTTTGTCCTATCTTGAAATGAAATTAATTGGTAGATGTAGAGGATAAGGCTCAACTGACAGAAGTAACTACTACTCACCTGCTGGTCTGACAGTGGATGCCATCTCTAATGAAAATGAAGATCTTTTGAATATGAAGATCTGTAAATTCGCACAAAAAAACGAAGCTTAGGCATAGATCAGAATACAAATAGCCAAATAGCATAGGTTAGGGTTTGGGCACTCTGGTTTCTCGCAGCAGTAAGGGAATAGAAGGGGTGGGCATACCTGGTGGAGAGCCCATCGAGAGGACCTGGGCACCCGGCTTACGGTGGCGCGCTGCTCGCCGAGCAGCCGTCGTTACCGTGGGGATGCGGATAAGCAGGGCGCGGGCGCAGAGAGATATCCCAACCTGTGCCCGCCGCAGCTGGTCGCACATGCGGCGGTGGTGGCGGAGACGCGGACGGGGACGGGGACAGCAGAGGAGAAGCGAATGGGGTAGGCGGTGGGTTTCTGCGGAGGCCAATGCAGCGACGGCGGCAGCGGTGGCGGTGTAGACGGGGCCGCACGAGCAGAGACAGCAGGGAGGAGCGGACGGGGGAGGGTGCGGGAGACCTGGATATAGGACGCGCGGTATCGCAAGTTGGAGGGGCGGACCGACGGTGCGTGCTGGCGGCGGCGCAGATCGGAAAAAAATGACGCCTCAGGAGGAACCGAACCGTGGAGGAGGCTGCGATCCCCCCCCCCCTCAAAAAAGTCGCACCAAAAAAATTATCTTACTTTTATTCTTTTTAGTTATTGGAGAAGTACAATTTTCGTATTCCATAAGGTTTGCATGATTATCCTACGTGTAGATTTTTGTTCCTCCCATACGAATTTTTTTCCACAATGATTTTCCATCTGAATAATTCATATTGAGCATGTATATGAGAACACAATCTTTTGTTCCGCTAGCTTTTGTATGATTTGTTCCAGGTGTGCACAATTTTTGTGTCACCTGGTTGAATGCTGTTGCCAACACAAGTTTTCATGATTTGCTCCAACTTCTAAGTGTACAAAACTTTTTGTTCCTTTCTTTTCTTTTCTTTTTGAGAAAGACAGTACCGTCTTTATTCATATATATTAGGGTAGTCGGTAGAAACTCCATTAGGAGGAGATAACAACTAAGAATATCATCCTACAAATTCATAAATCGAGCTCTTTGCCATTCTATGAGCATCAATATTCAATTTCCTGCTTTCATGGACGATTTCCGCCTTCGTGAAGCTTGTCATCCCCGCCTTATCTCCCGGATGATATGCCATAGAGGCCCATCCCAGGTCCTTGCATGCTCTTCACTACGTTTGCGCAGTCGGTGGCAATCCTGACCTTCGCAAGAGCTAAACCTTCTCTAAGGACATCGCTTCCGCCGTCGCTAGTTCCGTAACACCCACGATCACGACCCTCACGGTCGCTGCCATTGTCGCCGCGATACACGAGTTCTTTGACAGCGCAGCACGTTCATCAATCCTTGAGGGGGCCGGATCCATAGAGGGAATTGGGCCTGCACACATACATTTTTTTTTTGTTCCGCTTGTATATATATTTTTTTGTTTCACTTATATATTTTTATAATCCGAAACGGATAAGATGGCATGTCTAAAACAGGCCCAAGGATCCGCAGCACGCGCACAAAACGGAAGAACCGGCCTGCTGGACTTGAGCCCCGTTCAAGCTCACCCAATTTAGGCCCACACTCGCAACAGCCAGTCCATGCGATGCGCCCAGCCCATAACCATGTCTCTCGTGTGTTCGTGCTCCACGAGGTCTGCCTGCTACAAGCCCACGATCCCACACGAGATAAACGAGGACGAGAATGCAGGCCTCAGAATGGAAGAGCCGCGAAAGCAGGCAGCGGGGGCAGGGCACGAGGAGCACGGCGACCCGACAAAGCCTAGCCGCCGAAACCGCCGCCCGATCAAGCACGCGCGCGTTTCCCGGCGCAGGGGGATAACTAACGCCCACCCACACCGCACTGCGCCTCGCCCGGCTGCCCATCGCATCGACCCCACCGTTCGTCGTCGTCAGACACCTCGCCGGCCGTCGCGCGCGCGTCTATGGGCGGCTTCGCCATCCACCCCGCCCCTGGACGCCCCAACGACAGCCTGCCGCCGTCCGCCGCCGGCACCGGGACGACGTCGTCCTTCTCCGCCTCCGCCTCCTCCTCCTCCCTCGACGATGGCGTCCGCGTCCACCGCACGCCGGGGCACACGCTGGAGGAGCCGCCGTCGCGGCGGCACCGGGCGGGGGGCCGCCACGGCGGCTCATCGTCGTCCCGGCCGGCCCGGCTGCTCCAGAGGCTGCGGCACGCGCTGCCCCTCCTGACGCTGACGCCGCGGTGCGGGCGGATGCAGCAGGTCGGCACGCCCGCCGAGATCGCGGCCGCCGCGTCCTCCTCCTCGTCCTGCTCGTCGTCGTCCGCGCCGCCCGCGCCTAAGGGCGGCGTGTCCTTCACGGGCGCCGCGCGGCCCTGCCGCCGCGTTACGGGGACGCTCTACGGCCACCGCAGGGGCCGCGTCGTGCTGGCGCTGCAGGAGACGCCGCGGTGCCTGCCGAGCCTCGTCGTCGAGCTCGCGCTCCAGACGCACGCGCTGCTCCGCGAGCTCGGCAACCCGGCCGGCGCGCGCATCGTCCTCGAGACCGAGCGCCGCGCGGTCTCGGTGGAGGCCGCCGCCGCTGCCGCTGGACGAGCCGTCGTGGACCATGTTCTGCAACGGCAAGAAGACCGGGTACGCGGTGCGGCGCGAGGCCACGGACGACGACCTCACGGTGATGGAGACGCTGCGGGGGTTGGCGAATATAGGATTTTAGCTCGGGTACGTCGTCAAAAAAAATTTCTATATAATTCCACAAATCATTTAGCAATTTGGTAACGGTAGTAAAATTGGCAACGTAATTCGGTAATAATAGTTAAATTTAGAACATAATTTGATAATAGTAATTCAGTAGCAGTAGTAAAACTTGTAACGTAGGAATGACTCAACGTCATTAGCAATGAAAATAGACAAGATTTTTCTACGTGAAAAAGAAGAGAAAATGGCAAAGACTGAATTACGTCTTGGTGTCTCAAACAATCGCCTTTGCTCGTTAGCCATGCACGTGTAGCTAGCAGGCAACAACCGAGCTCCCTAGCTCCAAACTTGTGGTAGATGAATGGATGAGGGTAGGTAGTGCGTTGGATCTAGAAGCCAAGATGTCACCGCGTTAGTTGTCAGGACTTGCCAACGTGTCACCACAACAGGATCTGGGGTCCTGAATCTCCCATCCGTGTGACTCTGGGCGCATGGCTCTGGACCCTGGAGAAAAGCAGCAGAGCTGCAAAGGCCATCTCGGCAAAGCTGGGCTGCTAGCGTTGCGTTCGTTTTCAGTTCTCTAGCCTACAGGTAAGTGTTTTTTTGTTTTTGTTTTTTTTCAAATACAGTATATATACTCCAATATACGCCGGATCTGCAGACACTGGCATACCCTACCCTGTAGCTCCGCCCCTGGCTGCGGGCGGTCTCCATGGGCGCCAGTGTGCTCCAGGGGACGAGGGCCCCCTCGCTGGCGACCGACGCGGCGGCGGTGGCAGCGGACGATGAGGTGCCGTACATGCGCGGCTGCTTTGATCACTTCATCGGGTCCCGGGACTCGGAGTCGCTGTACATGATCGCGCCGCAGGGCGGTGGCACCGGCCCCGAGCTCGCCGTCTTCTTCGTCAGGCTCTGACCTCCGATCCGCCCCCGAGCCTTTGGCCATTGCCTATCTTCTCGCCGCCATGGCCATACATGCAAGACGATCGAAGGGCATCCATTCATCGCCACGTACATATGCATCGTCAGAATTCATTGGATCGTGCAGCCTCGTAACGACCTAAATGACTAATACGAAATTAAGAAACAAAGAGCTAGGAGTCGCCCAATTTGTGAATCTTCAGGTTAATTTTTTGGTTGATTCGTTATTAGGTTGTATACGAGGTGTTCTTGGATTTGTGCCCTATGCATCATTGCACAATCTATCATCTAGTGGAGTATATACGACAGAAATAATCACTTCTGAATGCCTTGTTTGCTCCTCGTCTAATTATTAGGGGTAACTTAGCAGCTGAGACCATAGGGGAGCTTTTATCAAGATGTTTTTCAGTATTGTCGGACAGTGGCGGACCCAGTCCAAGAATGGAGACTTTTTCTTAAAAAATGTCCAAGAATGGAGGTAGGATGAATTTAATGGCATGTTCGGCTGGTATTAAAGTCGGCTGATAAGCCGGCTAAAGCTGTTTTGTTGTGAGAGGAAAATACTATAGATTCTAACTGATAAGCCCGCTGATAAATTCAAGCGAACAGGACAGTATAAAATTTTAAGAAATTTTACAGCGCTTCAAAATAATGAGAGCCATTCGTTTGGCTGGATCGAATGATTAAGAAAGAGGAGGAAGGAACTTAAGTGGAGGACCGGTACCAAAATTTAGCGGGCCAAGAACCAGCTCTAAATTAATTTTGAAGGATAGAAGAGTACTTTATGTGAGGGGTTTCTTCTCGCTGCTCCCTGCCCGCACAACCCCGCCAGCAACAAATGCATACTCCAACGAACCGAGATCCGTCGCCGTCTATTAGGAAGCGGCGGCAGCCAACGAATCGACGCCGCCAGTGGCGATGCTCTGTCGCTGCCTGCCTAGGCTTTGCTCGTTTTGTTGATCGCCGCCGAGGGAGAGCGACAGCACATTCATGCCGTCGTGGATGGCGGCGTCGAACACCATGTCCGTGTCGAAACACTGCCGTTCACGGGAGGGAAACATACGCGATAGGCCGCCACGCGCGCGGGGAGCCACCGGATGCCGTGCCGTTGCCGAACCTTCGAACACCGACGCGCTGAGGCATTCAACGCGCCCGCAGCCGCCGCGTAGCCCATGACCCCTTGTTGAAGTAGCGTGCGGCCGTTCGTCGATCAGCTCCCTGCTTCCAGTTGCATTGGAATTTATCATCTTGGTCTTCGGCGGCCTCGCAGGCTCCTTTCCACAATGGCATGGAACTGCCCCCAGACCATCATCCCTAAAGCTCTCAGATTCTGGCAATCGAGCTGCGGCGATGCAGGCGGCAGAAATACCCTAGCATTTGATCGGTCTAAATTAGAGTTAATGATGAGCTAGGTAAAAGTACTAGAGTACCCCTGATTACAATAATTAACTTTTGTTAATGATGAACGGCTGGAAATAAAGAGGAACCGGAGGTTCCTCTCAAGCACCGTAACAGATCTCTAAAATTTTAGCTAAAAACGATGACATGTACATCGTTAATAAAAGTTATAGAATGGCAAACAAGAATTAAGATGTTACGTTTTAAGAGAGGAATCAATTTTAATGCAGGTTTCAATTGAGATTGAGAATTATAGTATAGAACCTGTTAATTTGAAAGGCAAATCAATTAGGAAATGACATTAATGTAAAACATTTGGTGAAAAATGTAAAGAGGATGAACATCAAGGCCACTTTGGAGGTTTAAGTAAACTCATTTTCCGATCTTTTATGGATTGAAACGTTCTCTTAATTTTCTCAGTACAAGTCCTCTAAAAATCACCTTCTCAATAAAGCACAGAGTCAAATCCTTAAGCCACTCATCATTAATTCTATTTTGCAAATTAGTCTTAATTATATTCATATATAGCTGAGAAGCCTCAGACAACTGATGTCGTTGCCACCGTAAGAAACAATGCTAGCTGAATGATGCGATAGACTAATGCAAAAACAAGATGTATCTTAGTTTCAACCAACTTTATGGACAAACTTACAAAATTATGGCCAGCTCTGAAATCATGAACTCTTCACACATGTAAAATAAATGTCTCAAATTGATCACTTATAGATGAACAAATCAATAATTGAAAAATCTTGATCATAGATCTCCATTAGACGAGCAATCTTCTCAATATCAAACGAGTAACTGTGATGGTACCTCATTGAAGTGATGATCCATCTATGTGATAATTAATAGCATCTCGGCGAGGTAGTGCGGTATGGTGCCTAGCAGCAACATCGATATAGTCAATCGAGGTGGCTGAAAGGGGACCGTGATTCCTAAGAGGGGGTTGAATTAGGCAACTTAAAAGTCTAACTCTAAGCTATGGCCTCTTTTTCTATTCTTAGCAAAACATATGCAAAAGATAAACTATCTAAATGTGCAACTACAGTTTTGCTAGTGTGTTGCTATCTCTACCGCAAAATGAGTTATGCAAACAATGTAAATACAGAAGCTAAAGAGTAAGGTAGAGATATGCAAACTCCCGTCGACTACTCCGGTATTTTTATCGAGGTATCGAAAAGCGCGCAAGCTTCCCCTAGTCCTCGTTGGAGCCCCTCGCAAGGAATCCCTCGCAAGGGCCAAGCTCCCGGTCGGATAACTCCGTGGATAGTCTCGGGCCGTCCCTACGCGCAAGTGGGTCTCCGACGTGCCTTCCGGCAAGCCTCTCCCGGATGCTCCCCGCCGTCTTCACTATCAAGCTTCCGGCCGAACCGCCGCGGGCCTTGTTCCCTCCGATACACGGTGGCGGCCACACCACAAATGCGGTTAGTGTGATCTCGTAAGACTACAAGCCTCTCCGATGTACAACAATGGTGCGCTCAAGTACCGAGTGGTAAGACGTATGCAAACCTCACTAAACACTAGGCCTAAACCTAGAGCAAGCGCATAAACGGTGGTCTAATCAACTTAAGCACTTCGTAAAGCACCTATGCTAATCACCTAATGAATCACTAAGCATTATGCAAGTGGAGATCACTAAAATAGTGTATCAACACCTTTGGTATGTTTCCTCAGCTCTCCACATATCAAATGGCCGGTTGGGGGGTCTATTTATAAGCCCCACCAAGAAAGTAGCCGTTGGGGGCAAAAACCCAGCTTTCTGCTACTGGCCGGACGCTGCTGTCGTCCTGACCGAACGTGTTCGGTCATCCCGACCATTAGAGCGCGCGCGTTGATCGGACTCTGGGCCGAGTCCGGTCTCACTCAATCGGACACGTCCGGTCGTGCTGGCGCCTCTCTGGAACCTCTCTGGACTTGATCGGACGCCACTGCCTGGCACGTCCGGTCGTCCACAGCCGCTGCGTCCGGTCACGCTGAATTATTGCCGCGACGATGAACAGTGAAGTCCGTGCGTCCAGTCACTACCTCGCTCAGCGTTCGGTTGCTGCTGCTGACGCCTGCTGTTGCCGAGCAACTGATCGGACGCGTCCGGTCACTCATAGGGCCGCGTTCGATCACCTCTGTGGAGCTCGTTTCTTCGCGATCTTGCGTCCAACTTGGTTCCTATCTTCATACTTGACTTTGCTTGATAACTTGGATCTTCTCTTATGCTTTTAGGGTCTTGCTTATGGTGTTAATCGTGGGATCATCATGTCGTCTTCGTCCAAGTCATGTCTTGCACCCTATTGAACTATAAAACAATTACTTGCAAATTTATTAGTCCAATTTGGTTGTGTTGGTCATCAAACACCAAAATCCAAAGTAAATGGGCCTAGGGTCAATTTTCCTTACAGTGGCGCCTCGGATGCGAGCTCCTCTATTCCATGGGTGGTGACTCCACGCTCAAACCAATGGAGGGAGCAAACAAAGTAGTGTGGGGGTGGTGGGCCACTCTTGTGGCAGGCAGGCAGGAGGACTCGGGGCGGCTTTATAGCCACTTGTCCATGGCGGTCACGACTGATGGTGCCGATGCACAAGGCTAGGGCTCACGGTCATGGGCGTGAGGTGTCCATAAAGAGCAATCAAGCCCTTAGGGTTGTGCTCCCAGGTCGCTGACATCGAGGCAAGGTTGCGGACGACATCATCGACCTCCACTATAATTTGAACGGTCACGAGGACAACTTGGCTTATAGTCTGAAACCTTGTGGCATTGCCTTGTGTTGTCGTCCACCTAGGGCCAGCACCACCAATGACACCTCACTCACTTTTGGTCTCGGATGCGAGAGATGTTGAAGGCAGGAGGAGAGTTAGCACCCGTGTCTAAACTCAATTTGTTTGGAAACAACGACAACTAGTCTGTTATGCCTCACGCAGAAGCCGGTGCTGGCTTGTCGACCGGGACATGCTATACCTGGTTGATCCTACTAAGCCAGGCAAGTATGAACTAATTTGAACTGTGAAACTACGAATGGCTCATTAAATCAGTTATATTTCGTTTGATGGTATATGCTACACAGATTACCATAGTAATTCTAGTGCTAATACGTGCAACGAATCCTGACTTTGGGAGGGGTGTATTTGATAAAAGACTCACATGGACTCTCCTCGCTAATCTAGTGATTCACGATAACTTGATGGGTCGCACGATCCTCGTGCCGGGCGATACATCATTCAAATTTATGTCCTATCAACTCACTACTACGTTAAATTTAACCGAGGCGGGCCATTTGGATTAACGGAGGCGGGCAAACCATCCACCTCCGTCGAAAGGTCAAGGTTAATGCATGACAACGGAGACGGTTGCTTTGCCCACCTCGGTTAAATGATTAACCGAGGCGGGCCTTGCAAATGCCCGCCTCAGTTAATGCAATAAAAACACAAAAAAGCCCAGAGCCCGCCGGCGAGCCCATTTTTGAGCCCATCGGTGAGCTCGGCTCCGAGGCAGTTGGACTCGTGCTCGCCGGATCCGCCACCACCGGACTCCTCCACGCCAGATCCGCCGTCGGCTGTCTCCTCCCCGCCGGATCCGCGCGAAGTCGCCGCCACTCGGAGTCG